GAAGCATGGGGGCAACCCTAATAAGTATAAGGCTGGTGGGGAGGGAATTGAGTCATTTGGACTACTATCAGCACTACATTGAGTTTCCATGTCTTTTTCTGCAGTGGCACAAACCTTGAGCAAAGATGTGGACAAGACACAGACCACACAATGAAGGCATTTCATATAATGAATATTCCTAGGCAGGACTCTGATGAATCACCATAAAATATATTGTTTAACGTCATCCAGTCTTCTTTAATCCAGAATTAAACCAGCTTGATACTATTTATTTATTTATTATTTTACTTTAACTGCCATGACTTTATCCTACAGAATCCTGGGATTTGTAGTTTGGTGATGTATACAGCCTGGTCTGTCAGACCATTCTGGTGTCTCACCAACCTCAGATCCCAAGATTCTGTAGGATAGAGTCATGGTAGTTAAAGTGGTGTCAAAATGCTTTAATTTTGCAGTGTGGATGAACCCTCAGCCAAACCAAAATAGGACTTTATCACACGAGGGAATATTGGGGGGAAATTGAGGGTTTAAAAAGCCATTATCCTGTGAAAATTACGCAATCACAGGAAGATTTTCACACGCATCACGATTAAAGAGCCACTATTCCTGGAATAATCAGGCAAAAAATCGCAACAAATCATTTATGGTATTTCCACATGAATGATTTGTTGCTGTTTACTGCCTGATTATTCCCGGGATAATGGCTCTTTAATCATGACGTCATGTGAAATTCTTTACCGCGATAGTTCAATTTTCATGGGATAATGGCTCTATAAGCCAATTTTCCCTGTGTGATAAAGTCCATACTCTAGCCCAGGGGTAGGCAACCTAAGGCCCGGGGGCCGGATGCGGCCCACCGAGGCTATTGGACCGGCCCTAGGCCGGTCCTGCCGCTGCCGCCACTGCCGCTCTCCATGATGATATTGATTATTGTTGTTATTGCTTGTTCTTGGGGTTTTCTTGGCAAAATCTCCACAGGAGTTTTGCCATGGCTTTTCTGGGGCTGAGAGAGTGTGCATGCATATTTTTTTAATTTTTAATATTTATTTATTTATTTATTTATTTATTTATTGTGCTTCGGCCCCCCCCAATTTCTGAGGGACAGCAACCCGGCGCCCGGCTCAAAAAGGTTGCCTACCCCTGCTCTAGCCATTCTAAGAACCGCTATAATGTTTCCCAGTCTTAAAAAGCTGTACACAAAATTAGTCAACATCTGATGGTCTGTGGGAAGAATTTTAAAATGTATAATTGTATAACAACTTATTTATTGCATTTTAATTGTGTGTAGTGGCAAATTACTAAATTATAATAAATGTCTTGCTTGCTTGGCATTGTACTAATCAAATCTCACATTTCCATATACTTGCATGCAATAATGCCATATATTATTTTACACACATAGGACCTTAGCACACGGGGCCCAAACCAGACAGAATCCAAATGAAATCCCGACCTAATACGTATTATTTTTCCGTGTTTCCACACGACGTCGCACAGAACCCTGACAGAAAGTGGAAAGAACCGAGATCTTTTGAATTCCGGTTTCTTCAGGAATTGCAATTGCGCGACGTTTGCGGAAACAAGGTTTATTTCCTGTTTATTTTCGGGATGCCTCGTTTCCACTTTATTTTCAGTTTTCTGGGCCATGTGTGATAAGGTCCATACAGAGATGTGAATAGTAATTTCTTCAACTTTAAACCACCTCCACCCCAAAGTGAATTCTAAGGAACAATGGAAAATAGCAGCTACAATGGAGGCAACTATGCACCGAAATGTGAAGTGCTGTGTGAGGATTTTAAAGGAATATGTAGTAACCTTGGAGTCCATCCACACTGGAGAAATAATCTGGTTTGACACTACTTTAACTGCCATGGCCCAATGCTACAGAATTCTGGGAATTGTAGTTTGCTGTGGTACCAGAGCAAAGCTGCTATAATTGTATATATTTTGTAAATAATATATATTAAAACTTTACCAT